ATGAAGTAACCTAATCACCTAACACCACCACCAACAACAACAACAACAACGAACACCAATCACTACCAACGGAATAAATTTGAAAGAGGTCACTTCTTCCGTTTATCTAGGCATTATAGATCCAGCAACAGGAGAGAGCACAGATGAAGATGACAAACCAGCCGTGATCGGAAAGGTAAAACAGACCTTTATCCCTGCGAAATCAGTTTTGAAAATCTTCATTTCACTGGAGCGTAAGCAACGAAATTCGAATTTTCAACACCCGTGATGAGTGAAAAAGTCATTTCTTCCATATGGGTGCACGCGTCACGAAAAGAATTTCAGACGACCAGCGGCAAACTTTGTATCAACAGCCGCCTACACCATCTCTCTATACTAAAGTTCATATGACTAGCTAGATAGCATTAGAAACTAGAAATTCTAGGAACAAACCAATTAAGAACCTATTGCTTATAAAATATTACTAAAATGGAAATGATTAGGACACACTCTGAAGAAACAGTTGGATGACATCACGCACCCAGTGCTGTCGCTCGACTGGAACCCAAATGAGGAACGATGAGTTGGGCATGAGTTCAAAGTTGACACAGAGAAGAGATCGTGTGAGTTAGAGGAGATGAAAGCTTACGGGCAATCGTGGAGACAGCTGAAAAGGGCTGCAAAGATCAAGTCAAAATGGAGACGTATTAGCTGAAGTCCTATGTTCCTATCGCAACCAAAGAAGGATATAAAGAAAGTCCTTAGTTTTTTTTTCTAAAATTAATTTTCAAATGAAATCCCTCACTGTATATGCATCAGGCCATCTGTCACACACACATGCCTGAATATGACTCATTAAAGTAAGCTAGACTGCTCATTGATACAAATAGTTACTGGATATGTTGCTTGGTCAGTATGTACGTGCTTTTTTCTGTGTGTGTGTGTGTATGTGTGAAGAGATAGGAATGAATCAGCCACAAAGATATATACATACTATAAGATAACATCTTCAATTAAAGCATAAATTTATATGTGAAATTTAATATCTTGTTATGTCTAATTTTAAGATTGAAAATTTGGTTTTAAAAACTTTAATTAACTAGGTTAATTAGTCGGACAGATATATAAAACCATGTTGTCGTCATAGTAATTCATATATCTATCTAAGAAGTTTTCATCTCAGATTACTTTGAATGAATCTACTGAAGATAGTTTATTTTGTTATCAGTGTTATGGTGTTAGCAAGTAAATTACTAGGAAGGAAATCTATTGCGTTTATATCCAACCAACTAACTATTCATAACTCATTAGGATTACTCATCTTAGACGTGAAACACAATAAAATCTATATATATAACTATACATTATGTTTAATGACAGTCATTGAGGTTAATAGAACTTAGTAGTGACCAGTAATTTCATTTTTAATGAGTCGGTGATTAAGCAGGTATAGATTTCGACATTCAACACTCAACCCTACCGTCTATCCCTTTTCCTATTCCTAATATATTTCAGCCAAATATAGCCGGCGCCTCATCGTGATGTCAGCCTGGATTTCAAAACTCACATTTCCAATGTTTCGGTGCGCGCCTGTGCAACCTGGCCTCTACGGGTGTAGGCTGTATCTTCGACTATCGCTGTCTCCGTAGAATTTCTTTCGTTCGACGGGATCAACGTGTAAGTAATTTTGAGGTCCGACAACATGAGTCTGGAGACAGTGGCGATCACTGTATCTTTGATTATAGATGTCTGCGTTCAAACTCCCTTGTTGGGTTGTAATAATAATAGGGCGAGTAATGTTGAGGTTATGCATCGATTGTTGAGTAAAGATGGAAAGTTAATTGATGCAGTTATGCAACAGCACCGATTGAGATGGCTATGACATGTTACACATTCCTAGCTAACAACTTCTTCAACAGTCAATGTTACCTGATATAAGATTAGGTTTGGAAGTAACTAGTGGTGGTCAAACCAAAACATGGAATCTGTAACAGTTAATTTGAACCAGTCACGTGGGGAGGTGTAGATCGCCTGGTTAGTTGGGGTGGTCCTCCAAACTCTTAGGAACAATGGCTGGAAACAATAATTGATAAGATGCGAAATCATTCTTAACGCAGTAGATGCATTCAATCTCTGTTATCTACCATATTCATTAAAAGCCGATTGATTTTCCATGTTACAAATCTTCCGCTATCAAATTTCTGCCTATTCTCACTCTTTTGAATCGCTTTGACCTTCATAACATGTTGAATTGCTGCACTTTTGTTCAAAGTTCTACGTTGAAACCAGTCAGAAGTTAAAATCTAGAATACCTTCCAGTGAATAATGGATAAAACTTGGACCTGGCACCAATCTTTCCAAAACCACAAAACACTAGTCATCTGACCACTGGACTATGAGAGCCACTTTTTTATGCGACAAATATCAGTTATGCTTTGTATTCCCCATCGATTGATTAGATTGAGCCAAATTTCTCTATCTCCATTAACAACAAGTAGGTGGAGGTGACTATGGGGTTTGAAACGATGGGTTCAGAGTTCAAATCCCCCTGGAAATAGTATTACTCACTACAGATAGTAGATAAGTCTCATACAGCATTAAATGCACATACTGAATTCCACTGTTGGCCACCGGAAACATCAGTACATCAGGATCGTGAAACGTCCTACTATTTGATTTGTTTCAAGTTTAGCCATAGATTGATATCAGTCAAAGAATGATTATAGGTAGTACTGGACACTGCTGTTTCGTTCTAGTTTGGGACTCATCAGCAGGGCATACACCCCAGTTACAAAGCAAGCTAGTTCATAGACCATTCATAGCCACTGTGACCCGATTCAGTGGCCAGGCCATGAATTCTAACTTTAACCCGATCAGTAGGATTCACCAACAGGTTGAGAGAGTGAGGACCAGTACTCGTGAAGGCAAAATCATACTGTTGAGTATGAAGCAAACAGATTAAATTGAATTCTGTAGTTACTAACATACTACAAATATAAACTTATAAACACATAATAAATAACTGATGCTATACTCCGCAGAAATTTTAAGCTTGGATGGACATGTGTGTAAATGTGTGTGTGTGGGGGGTGTAAACACTGAAACATACAGTGAATGAGTATATTTCAGCTGAAGAAACACTCACAACAAATTTAACAATATGAGGGAACTTCAACAATTTCAGCTAAGTGTATATATATATATAATTTTCTCTCCTCTTTTTATGACTATATACAAAGTATTTTTATTATTATATATTTATAAGTTAAGGAAGGAATCTATCTGTTTACTTATTTATTTATCTGTTTATCTCCTGTGTTTTTCCAACTTCCAAGTGAATGTGAGAGAGAGAAAAAAAGAGGCATAAATCTCTGTTGACTTTTTATGCATGATAGAATGCATAAAAGATACGCATCATAGAACTGAGTTGAGTTGACTTGGCTTGAGATGAAAACAACCATTTATGATGATTACGATGATGGTTAAATATTCAAGCATGCTAAGGGTTTCAGCCATAGAGGAAATCTCACCTCGTCCCATCCCATCCCACCCATCCCCCCCACTATCGTACTCTCTTATCTCCATCTCATCTATTCAAGTGCATCATTTGATGTAAAGGCGGGAAACAAACAAGTTAAAATTTTACATGATGCCATAAATTATATGGATGTTTACAAAAGAAACACAGAAAAAATCAGCTTATGAAAGGAAATGCGCACACATATGAACTGTGAGATGAGTTCCGAACAGGAACATCCTCCAATTTGCCCTATTTTGTGCTGTTCTCTTACACAGGCCTCATGGCTTATCATGAGCTCTTATCTCCACCATCTCAACCTCGATTCATGTCTCTCTCGTCGTTTGCTACTCAGATTCCAATCGAGGAACAAACCAATGGTCTTATTCAACAACCGTCGCTTCGGCATGTGTCCTATCCACCTCCATATTCTTCCACATATTTGTTGAGTAATAGGTTCTTGGTCAGTCGTTAGCTTTCTCTCATTTCATCAACTCCTCGTTTAAAATAACGTACCTTTTTACATTTATTGTAATTCATCAATCTGTTTAAATGATAAATGACACCTGGAAAATTCTCCAGTGTTTATCCTTACATCGGAGTTTTTGAAACACCTTCACAGAAATCTTTTCCATTCCTTTGCATTATGTGCAGATCATAGGAACACTTCAAAGTTGAGCTTTGAAGTTTCAAATAACCTTCGATTTGCTAAGCACAACTGTGGCAGTGGACATAAAAATGTCTCAAACCTAGTCTGTGATCAGAAAAAGATTTGTTCAATCACCCCCCCCACCCACTATTATGATGCTCAGGAAGGCTTCGTGTGCTTTTCGAATTGTGTGGGCGGTTGTTACTTCCCGGCTGCCCACACCGTGGGAGTTGACTGATTCTTCAGGTACCTGAAACAGAGAGAGAGGGTTAGTGTTACGTGACCGCAGAGCCCAAGAGACAACTGTTTGAGACCGGTCACACACAGCCCGTATGAACTGGTTTCCGGGATTGATTCCGTATTACCGCCACAGGGTAAGTCGGGATGTACAATTGTTGGGGTCGACCTTTTCTAACCCCTTCTCTCCAGAGTGAAGAGACAGCATAGCTGGTTGGTATGCTGGTCACCTAAGGGAAACACCTCACTGCTGTTACACCCCTGTTTCCCAGCAGTACAACTTCGCCTACAGACTCCAAGGATAGTGTCAAAGCAGAGTTCTTACACTAAGCCGGTAACTGCTTTTAGTCGAATAGCTATCCTAACAACCTTCCTGACATGGTAAGACCTGCAGGAACAACATTGGTTCCAGCCAGTGTAGTTTGTCGGGTCTTCGCAATGTGCAAGCCCAACCACCACATCAAGGTAGTAGCTATCGGTTAGGCCCCCACTACTAAGGTGCTTTCAACTCCAACTTAGAATGGTTATCTCTTCCGGTGACACCAGATAACTGTAAATTAAACTTTACCACATTAAAAAAGCAGAAATTTACACGTAAACAAAATTCAATTAACTTACTATCTACATATTGATGATTCATAATATTCCCACGATAACGCTGAAAACGTTTCAGAGAAAGAGAGAAAAAAACAACAAAGAAATTATAATCCAGTCACATATACACAAAGTCAAGTGTGTTAAAATGGGGATTCATTGTAGGTTAATATCTCGGATAGATAAATTCACTTATAGTAGTAACCTGCTGTTCATAGAAGACATCCATAAGAGATATAGACCGAATATTTTGGAAGTCAGGTGAAAACTGGTGAAGAAGATCTGCATTTTATGGATGAATTTGTGTCTAATGTCATACAAACTCGAAGATTGACAGAGGTGAATACAAATAAACTGGCTGAAGAAGAAGTTTGGAAGTGCTTTTGCACTGCAGTCAGCCAGCACAAACAACAAGATTCGGATTTGCAACACAAATATGAAGTCAGTCAGTTCTTGTCAAGAAACCAAAAGCCACTGAAAACTTTTGCCACCATAAGGAACTCTGACAGTGCAACGAACTGAAGTAAGAAACTATTCCATAAAAAACACATGTAGATGAATCGAACAAACGCTAAGGAAACTGTAGAGGGACATCACGTACCAGGTACACCACGAAGTGAAAGTCGAGTGAGAGGCAACCAGTCAGGTATCTCCTTCACTTATTTGGGAAGTACCATCAGCCAGTGCCAACGGGTTGATCTCTGACGAAATCTCAGCACGAATACAAGGGGCTCGTTTCGCATTTGCCAGTTTACGCCGACTCTAGCGTAGACGAGATGTTCGACTATCGACCAAAGGGCGGGTGTACTGCTCATCAGTCCACTCCGTCCTCCTTTATGGTTTTGAGACCTGGCCACTGAGAGTGGAAGACATGAAAAGACTAGCTGTCTTTGATCATAGGTGCCTGCGTTCTATTTCCCGTGTAAAGTGGCATAATAAGGTGGGCAACATTGAAGTTAGGCGTCGAGTTCTAGGTAAACAGGGGAAATCAATCGACGAAGTCGTGAAGCTACAAAGACCGAGATGGTTAGGACATGTGTTACGTATGCCAAGTCATCGCCTCCCTCGACGAGCTATGTTAGTTGATATAGGGTCAGGCTGGAAAAAAGTTAGCGGCGGTCAAACAAAAACTTGGCCGAACCAGTCAATGAAATCCACAACAGTTGGTCTAAGCCAGTCACGTAGGAAGGTGTAGACTTCCTGACTGGTTGGGGTCCTCGGGATGGTAAAAATATATGGTTGGAAACAATTGGTGACATGGCTCAAAATCGTTCTCAGTGACTGGTGCAGATGCATCCATTCCTTGTGACTTATGATCTCCAATGAAACTGTTTTGTATTTCTTTATTACTCCTTTGTCTCACACCTCTACTCACTGTTTCTATTATGCTTTTCTTGTACTTTCTTCTCTTGCTTCGCGTGCTACACGGAGTGTGGCGACTTGAACTTCCGCACATTTGTGCAAAGTTCTATGTCGAAAACAGACAGACAGACAGGTATCTGAGGGTGATATAAAAGAGATAACAGCTTGCAGACAATTATGCCACCAGTTAAAGAGGAGTACAGAGAACATGGTTCGTTTCACTCAGAAGAGCCAAGGGAATCATACTAATAATACTATTTGAAGCATCAAAACCATACCCATAGAGTAATATAATCCAATGACAACAACAACAACAACAAATAACAATAATAAGAGATGAAATCAGATTGATAATCTGCCCTCATGGGATATACACTCGTTTTCGGCATAAATATACCTGTTTAGGAGTAATTTCTATAGAGAGACAGCGAAAGGGAAAGCAACAGTCGAAGGTAGAATCTAACTATGTATGTATTACCTGTCATATTTTATCAACCACCTCTATTGAGTTCTTAAGAGCAACAGAGATTGTAGAGGAACAGCAGGAATGTTACAAAATCAATATATATATATATATATATATATATATATATATATATATATAATCTCAATTAAACTCTGACAACTTACCTGTTCGCTTAATGAATTTAATGAATTCATACCAAGCAATTCAGAATCCAATAAGGATAAAGGGGATGTATATAAACCTATAAATTATAGATAGATGGATAGATAAATAGATATATGAAGACATTAAAGTAAACAAGATCACTAGTATAAATGAATGTACAATGCACACACCTACATCAGATTATATCAGAAAAAAATATGAATACTGAAACACGGTTAACATCACCACCACCATCAATGAAAATAACGATTTTCAAGAATTAGTTTGTATTATTATCATTATAATTATTTCCTTCAATTCCTAGAGGAACATAGAGCTTCAGCCGCGCGTCTCCATTGCGTTCAGTTCTCTGCCAACGTTTTCACCTGGCTCCAAGTCTGCCCACATGCTTTCATCTCCTCTAAGTCACCCTTAGACGACCAACTCGTCGCTTCCCTTCCGAGTTCCACTCGAGCGATAGCTGGTCCAGTGATGTCAATTGATGGTTTCCTCAGCGTATGGCCAATCCATCTCCATTTCTTCCTGCAGATTTGTTTCACAATCGGTTCCTGATTGGTTCGCTCCCAGAGATCCCTGTTGCTGATCTTACCTGGCCATCTGGTCTTGAGTGATATTGAGCGAAGACAGCTGTTGTTGAAGGTCTGTAGTTTGTTTGAGGTGCTCTTTATGACGCGTCAAGTCTGTGATCCGTATAGTAAGTAGCACTGACTTCACATTGGAGTTGAAAATCCGGAATTTATTTTTGATGCTGAGTGCTGTTGACCTCCACACAGACTTGAGAGTAATGAAAGCTAGTCTTGCTTTCCCGATCCTCACACTGTGATATCCTCGTCAGTTCCGTCCACCTGTAGTTGAAACGATGCTTCCTAAGTAGGTAGGTGAAGGAGGTTGTTTCTTTCAGGTTCCTCCCATTTATGCTGGCTGGTTGTTGTCTGTTGTTGTTGTTGCTGTTGGTTTTGGCCAGGAATCTTCATCACCTCTGTTTTCTCTATGTTCACCTGTAGTCCTATCTTTTCTGGATGCTTCTTCTGCCAGCTTTTTGCTTTTCACTTGCATATCTTCCAGTTTGTGGGAAATCAGACATATATCATCGGCGAAGTCCAGATCTTCCAAGCTTTTTGTAAAAGTGGGCCCATTTTATGCCTGTTTCCTCACTGCCCAATGTCTGTCGCATTATCCAATCTACTGCAACCAGGAAAATCATTGTCGATATTAGGCGATTTTAAAGAATTAGTTTGTAAGGATTCTATTTGTTTCAGGTTAAATCACGGATTGATATCAGTTAAAGAACTATTGAAAACCAGTTATAGGGAAGAAGTTGTGACCAGCGGGGTCCATCCAGTTGTGAGCGACATTGCCTGGTGGTAGAGCTAAAAATCACGAATTGGTAGAAGTTAGAATTCATACGCTGAATTCACTGAACCGGGTACCGGTGGATGAATGAATGGTTTCCCGGGTAGCATAACTTGTAAGCGGAAGATCCTGGATTCGAAACCCGGTGGGTGCGTACTGCCTATGAATTCCAGTACAATGCGTTAGTTTTCAATGGTTCTCTAACTGATATCAATCCGTAGTCGAACTTGAGAGATAATAACGATGATGATAATAATGGTGACAAAAATGACTGAATAACCGACTAGTTTCAAAATAGAACTATGCAACACAGCACAAATGTGCAGCGATTCGAATTACCACTTTCCCTCCATGTAGCACACAAAGCAAAAGAAAAGAGTCAAAAGAGATTTGTAAGGGAGATAACAATGGAGTTTCATTGGATATGACAAATGACAAAGGGTGAATGCACCCCTAAGCCAGCTATTGAGAAAGTTTTTGATACATATTAGCAATTGTCTCCAGTCTTCATAGGTTCTTACCAACCCGAAAACACTAAATAGTCAGGCAGTCTAAGGCTCCCTACAGGTTCGGCTTAAACTAAGTGCTATGGATTTTCTTGACTGATATCGCCATATTTTCATTCGCCAGCCGTTAGCTCTTTTCCAATTTAATCCTATTTAAGTGAACATCACCCGTATAGGAAGGCGATGACTACGAATGATTACTACACGTCAATGTAACTTCAAAACCTCGTCGAGTGAATTCAGGAATCCCATCATCCCAAAAAATGATAACACGACTACTAAAACTTCAGAATTCAAATTTGACACCCTACGTTTCTTTCGCAGAGCAGAGGAATGAAAAAAAGCCATACATTAACATGAAGATGTAGCTTTTTATTATTATTGTTCCTTTGGGTTCCTAGTAGAACATAGGGCTTCAACTGCACGTCTCCACTTGCCACTTCTGTCTTCTGCTGTACTTTTCACCTGCATCCATGTTAGTCCATAATGACTGTTTCAACTCCTCCACTTTTCACACGGTCTCCTCCATGTCACCCTTGCACTGACGTCTCACTCACCGCTTCCCTTTCCGCCTGGTTCCACTCCACCAATGGCCTGAGGTGCGCGCGATGTCACCAACCGGCCTCCTCAGCGACTGTCCAATCCATCTCCGCTTTCTCCTGCATATTTGTCGGTTGGAGATTGGTTCTTGTTTTGTTTCTTAGTTCCCATAGTTTCTTGTTGATGATTCTTTCCGGCTCGGCCATCCGATCTTCAATATAGAGCCAGCGAAGACAGTTAGCTGTTGATAAAGGTGTGCAACAGGCTGTTGGAAATATTCTTTGTGACCCACCCACCAAGTTTCTGATCCGTAAAGAAGAACTGATTGACTTGACGTTTGTATTGAAAATCCGACTGAATTTTGTTGTTGATGCTGGTTGAGTGACGAAGATTTCCAGATTGGTTTCAGGTTGACGGATGTGTGTTTCTCGCCTTCCCGATTCTCGCTCGATTTGACACCCTCGCCCGTTCTGACTTCCTGTAGTTGAGACAATACTCCCTAGATAAGTGAGTGAATGAAGTGACCTCTTTCAAATCCCTCCAGTTCATGGTGATTGACGCTGGATGTTGCTGCTGCTGTTGTTGTTATTCTGGTTGGCTGGTTATTTTCATAACCTCCATCTTGTATATGCTCACCTGGAGTCCTCCCGTCGCTGCCTACTTCTTCGACCAGTTTGTCGGTTTTCGCATCTAAGTCTTCGATTTTGTGACAGTGACATCAAACATAAATCATCCACGCACGAAATACAAGTCTTCTAGGTTCTTCAAGTCGGTCAGTTCAGGATATCCCTGTCTTCTCGTTTCCCACTCACCGTCTGACGCATAATCCAATCAGTCCACCACAATTAGAAATATCATCGTGGGTGATAATAAGCACCCTTGTCTGACTCCTGTGTTTACTCCAAACGCCTCGCTGAGTTTTCCGTTGTGGATCACTTGATATGTGTCGTTGTCGTACAGCTGTTGAATAAGGTTGATGAATATTTGGGCACTGCACGCCGTAGTACTTGAGTAGTTTCCAAATTACTTTGCGGTCAACGCTCTCTGTCGAAAGCCTTCTCAAAGTCTATAAAGTTGAGGTAGAGGTTTGATTCCCATTCTATGCTTTGTCCGATGATGATGCGTAGAGTTGCAATTTGGTCAGTACACGATTTGCCTTTCCTGAATCCACCTTGTTCTGTGGTTGTGGTTTAGTCACTTAAATATCACCTGGTCTATCTCAAACTTGACTTCTGCCACATCTACGACTGGATAGTGTGACATACACAGTCTGGCAAAAACAAAAGAATCTCCTCCACCTAACTGATATCATCCCATCCAGATACAAAAATCTATCCCCACAATAATTAATCCTATGCCCATTTCTTCATCACAAATAAAGTACAAATAATCCTGTTGAAAACAACAAAAACAACTGAGCTACTGAAACTAGCTTCTATTCAATGTGAAGTACAGAAAGTCGTCAATGAACGAGATAATGTCTGTCAATGACTCAACGAGGGGTAACATAATCCCAATTTCAACTGATAGGTTTTTCTTCCCTCCTTTGAATATATTCCATCTAATAATGTATAAACAACTGTCAGATTGCATCACCTCTTAATATTTATTAATCGCTTCATCACAAATTGATGTTTTGGAATTCATGCCTTTCTACAAACTGTCAGTTAATCCCAGTTGGATCTTATGACATAAAAATATCATTCTATCACTTTAATTCCACACTTCAGCTATATAAATATAACTGTCATGCCAATGAAAGTTCCATAATTGTTGAATATTTGTGATTATATAACATATGATAAGAAAAGGTGAGTGAGAGGGATGTGATAAATAAGTAACCTTATGGAAAAACACTTTCCTAATAATTTGAAGGGTAGAAAAAAATAATAACTTAACATTCTCTAGAGTTTAAGAAAACAAAGTTTTATTTGTAGTTGCCCTCACAGAGGTTGACAGATAAGTCAAATCCTCAAGGGATGAAAGATGCGTGGAGGTGGCACAGAGTCAGTGGAAAAAATGTATTAAGCGTTGGTTTACAGCTTTAGATTTGATTGGTGACAGATTTGCTAACGAGTTGACATCAGTGTCAGAGGACCACTATTGACAAACCACAGGGGAGTACTGGACAGGTGTTTCGCTCTAATTTTGGACATGTCATCAGTAAATACACCGCCGCCACCACCAGAGAGGTTCAGAATGATATCAGTCCGTGTGAAACTTAAGAAACAAGTCAAATCCCTACATAATAAATCATGAGAATTGAATCATACCCAGGTTATTAATCATGTTGTCGACTTCCAGCTACAGTTAAACCTAAGGCCGTGGGTTCGAAGCCTGACGGTGAGTTCGTATTCTCACTGAGTCCGAAACTACTAGTGGGACGAAACAGCAGTCCAGTACTCCAATACTGGTTTTCAATGGCTCCCTAACTGATACCAATCAATCCATGATCGAACTTGAGAAGCAAATCAAATCGCTACAAACAAACCGCTGAAAATTAATCTGATTCTCACTAGTGGCTAGCTGGCTCCGGGACGAAGTTGCCTGGACTTCTAGTGAGAAGTCGTGACCATTGGGATTTTGTCCACTTCGAAGTGAGGACAGATACTTGCCATGGATGACACTGGCTGATACAAGTTGCGCTGAAATCACGTATTGGTGGTAGCTAGAATTG